CTGAAAGGTTTACATGTGACGTCAGTCAGTACCACATAGAACACAAGGCGTGCGCGTTTCCTTTTCTAAACGTCATCACTAGTAGATCCCCGGATAAGCAACATTATCTGCTGACTAGAAAATTTGTTTACAACACTTTGGACAGGACGTATTATGTAAGAAACGCGCGGAGATTAACATCGCCCGCGACGTCGTCTGCTCCATCACCTGCTTCAGCGGTCATGCCCAGAACGAGCTCACATTAATTGTCTGCTTAAGGCCGGCAATCTTGATGGTGTCGCATGCACGTTGCGAACGAACTGTGGAAGCTCACTATCAGCTCGCGCCAACGCTCGCTCTCAGCAATCGCGTCCGCACGTGGCTCATACTCTCCTCATACTTCAGCCTGTTTTGCCTCTTGGGGCGGGTCGGGGATCTACTAACGATGACGTCAAGCGCAGGCCTTGTCGTCTAGGTGGTGTTGCGTCAGCCCACCAGAGAGCGCGGGGAAATTCGAATGGTGGTTTTTGGCATCACCTTCATTAGCCGCTGTCGTTAAGAACTAGTTTAAGTTTTGAGATAATAAATAACATGCCAGAAAGAGTAAATTTCGGATGTTTCGAAGAATGTAGTTAGTCCATGTAGCTCATAAAACCGCCTATGATGGCGACAGAATGCGTCCCATTGCGGTTACTGAGGTTGAATTGCTTCGTGTGAACCCGTGAGGACACCCCGCTGAGTCGACTACGTACGTCACAAAGTTAAAAAAAAAAAAAGTTGGTGAACAAAGTGGTGAGCTGGGCCAGTTGGTGAAAATTAAACATAATTGATGAAAATCAGATTAAAAAAAAAAGGGGGGCGAACTATAAGTATCAGTTCCGTCCCTTTCTTAGTTCCCATTTTTTAAAAAGCTGATTTGTATTAACCATACGATTACGGGTAAAACAGCGCGAACAAGGACACAGGACAGAAGTGAACCGTTTGACCTTTATCTCCAATGTCCTCTAGTTCATGAAATGCATTATTTATACACCGATCGTTTAAATTTCTTCGGAAGTCCTTAAACGGTCGTTTCGGGACTGAAGACGAACCTATATTTTGTCAGTTCAGCGCGGAAAATGACTCGGTAAATACGTCAAGTGACATCAGTTTTCCCGCCAAATTTACGGGAAAAACTGAATTGGTGCATACGTCACGTGACGTCAATTTTCCCGCCAAATGTACGGGAGAAACTCACCTGACGTCGGTTCACGTGACGTCAATTTTCCCGCCAAATGTACGGGAGAAACTCACCTGACGTCGGTTCACGTGACGTCAATTTTCCCGCCAAATGTACGGGAGAAAATCAACTGACGTCGGTTCACGTGACATCGATTTTCCCGCCAAATGTACGGGAGAAACTCACCTGACGTCGGTTCACGTGACGTCAATTTTCCCGCCAAATGTACGGGAGAAACTCACCCGACGTCAGTTCACGTGACATCAATTTTCCCGTTAAATTTAGCGGAACAACTGAATCGATGTTTAGTTCACGTGACGTCAATTTTCTCTCTAAATTCAGTGGGAATGGCACTGACGGATAGAAATTTTGGATTTAGGGGGAGGGGCTTTGTTAAGAGAGCATGCATCAAAAAGATCCTGCGCGTAAAGCACGGATGAACATTTTCTGCACCAAAAACATTTCACTTTCTTTTTTTTTTTATGTCTTTCAGTCCAGGCTGTCCATCTATCCATTCACTACACGCGCGCTTTGAGGGATGTTTGAGCAGCCCTCGGCCGAAAAGTCGTCCCGTTTCCCCCTCCCGCATCGACGAGGCTGACTGCACTCTTTGTTTTTTGTCCGCGCCGACTGGGCAAACTCGGACGGCTTCCTGCCTCTTGTCTGGCTCTCTGACACACGCCGCTGGGAAGTGGACACCTGTGCTCAGTCTAAAATCCGGCGGCGAGAGACAAAACAGGCGCACAGATTCAATTTCCGGACACACAAGGTGGGAGGAGCAACAAAAGCTTTTGCTTCGAGGCACCAGATGGGGTTGCCGTTCTCTATTAGCGGTTTCCCAGGATCTGATGTTTGCGTTCCAACGTATAGGACGGTACCGTTTGTGCGTTTCATTCTACCATTTACTCGTTCGGGGTAAATGTCACCGGCTGCCCGCGAGATGCGATTGAACCTTTACACGTCTGCGAAAGGGTCACATGAATGAGCTATAGCCAAAGTGGACGCACTTTCCGAATACTTCACTCATCTAAATTTTGAAACAGATAGTGAGAAAACTGCAAATAAAGGCGTTGCCGAAACCCACATTAAATATGTTTCTGCGCTTTCTAGTGGGCGAGGTCACATAGGTTGCATGACTTTCAAGTCGATCAGGCAGTCTAAAAAAAATTTAAAAAATTTGCGCGTGTCTTTCTTGTTTCTTTTTGTTTTTTTTTGCTGGCGTGAGCTTAATTAGTATTCATTTCACACCGTCAAACTTCATGCATCTCGTCGGGAACAAGCTGCAATGCCATATTTTACTACATCTGACGTCACGCTTTCATTGTCGCCCGTTGGAGCCTCTCAACCTCTCAGACCAAACTTAAAACTTCAATAACTTCGCGAAAAAAAAAATTATCGTGACTGGAAGTTTGCGTAACTATGAAATGCTACACCCGTGTAACTAGGGCTCAACTATGCATGCTTAAACCATCCAAACGTTTACGCGTCGCCCAAAACACGCGTCCCTTGGCAAACTCGCGACTTGAAGGGTCGATAAACCAATTTGTAGGGTGCGCTAAGCCGACGACACCATAAAACCGAATCATATAAACCACCTCTCCAAAGCGACGAAAAAAAAAAGAAAAGGAAATCCCAACGTCCCGAACGAGGGTGAACCTCGATCGGTGAGTGGGCGGAAACTCCGCTAACGTCAATGATCATATAGTCAATGGCTCTCGCCTTGAGAGCAGGACGTTCTGTATACGGTTCAGTGAGACGTTATTCTGTTTTCCTTTTCCTTTTTTATACCCACTGAAGCAACAAGTCGTTTGGGTAGCGACGCCAGCTGGATCGACAGGTATACACGTTCTCAGATCGGGTGGTTCGGTGTCCGTGTTTGTCCGGGGATTTGCGCAGCAAGGGTCGCCGACTCTTTGGAGCAGCGATCCGCTGCGAAACGCTGCGTTTGCTGCCGGAGCAGGTGGATCCGTGGGAGCAGAGCCGATGCCATGTTCTCTGTGCAACGTTGCCTATACCGGACAGGATCCGTGTGTTTTCCCAACGCCGGCTTGACAAACACCTCTCAATGTCCAGGAAAAAAGCGCCATACCAAATATCACAAAAATAACAGCGTAGCAGACTGTCTTTTATAACATCTAGCGAAAGAGTGTTTGTCTCCCAGAAAAACAACAAGAAAACGTTCGTGGTCACGCCCTCCGTTTCTTAGCATAAGCGTTAACGTTAATGATCTTGTGAATATTAACTCCGATGCAACATTTATCAACTATGCCGACGACACTAGTTTGCTTTTTTCCGCTGAAAATGTCGATATGCTATTTGACATGGCAAATCAGACGTTATCTGCATTAGCAATTTGGAGTCGTATTAATTCCCTACAAATCAACGTCGATAAAACAAAAGCAGTGCTTTTTCGCCCAAAACATAAGGTTGCCACAATTACAAGAGATATCGTTTTGAACTCATCCAAAATAGAGGTTGTAAAACCTTTCAAGCTCTTAGGTGTCAATTTTACCGAGACTATGTCATGGGATAGTCATGTTAACTACCTTGTTTCTAAGCTGCCACAAGTAGTAGGTGTGATAAACCGCCACCGGTACACGTTACCAGCAAGGGTAAAATTATTAATATATAATTCGTTATTTTACTCCCACCTAAACTATTGTAATTTAGTCTGGGGTGCAACAACGTCGACGAATCTATAGAAAAAATACACTTGTTGCAAAAAAGAAAAGCGTTAAGGGCTATAGAAGACGTTCCATTTGACTTCCACGCTGCTAGTTTATTTAATAAGTTTCGCGTTATCAATATACACACTCTTTTTAGCTACAGACTTGTGCCTAGTCTAAGACTAGAACAAATTAGGGGTACAAACTTTTTGATAAACCTGGGACAGCTCTCTGAAAATATTCACGCGTATCCTACCCGTCGTGCAGAATGTTGGGAGGTGGTCACTGCAAGAACGAACTATGGCACACAAATGCTCAAACATACTCTCCCAAAAAAATACTTAACTTACCTGAAGATGAAGGATTAGAATTCAGTGCATTGTCCCCTTAGATAAATTAGACTAATTTTCTCCACAGATGAATCTGAGTATGAACCAAACTTTTTGGAGTCTTATAACTTCTGTCTGCAAATAGGTGACTTTCTGTTATACCCGATGATAAAATATGTAGTCTGAAACACGCTTTGTTAAATTGCGGTAATCAAAATTTGTGAATGTTTTTTTTGTATTTTTTTATATTTCTTTTTTAGTTGCTGCTTCTGTGCTTTGTAGGTGGTCAAGGACTTGTCAAGCTGTGCCATACAGCTTTTTTCCTTGATCGCCACCATCAACGTTCGATGAAAATAAACTCATTATTATCATTATTATTATTATACTTAATTTTAATCTACTTAATCTAAGTAGGTGTTGTGTCAGCCGTTTCCCCACTCATTGCTGTTCGTCAGGAGTGCGACGACAGCCAGGGTACGCATCTTGTTAATCAAGCAGCAACGCGTAGCGACTTAATGACGTCGTCGGAGGCAAGGGGGGTTCAACGAAGTCAGCCCCCTCGCCTTAATTTAATCGTTTTGCGGCTCTAATTTTTTTGTTTGTTCGCTCTTCCCTTCTTTTTTTCTTTTTCATCCTTCTCTTTCGGGTGGGGAAAGAGCGCTATACGTACGGGGATTTCGTCTGACACCGCACCCGGCGAAGTTCCGGTGGGGGTCTGTGTTTTCCTCTACGTATAGCGGCTTCCCTTGCCCCACCGGAACGCTCTTCATGCGTAGCGGCCTCGAAGGCCCCGAAGCGGGGGAACCCACAACCAGTTTGGACTCTGAAAAGCGAGCACGCCACCCGTGTTATCTCCTACGCGGGCACCGCGCGCTCGAGGAGATCTCTCGTTTACTTGGTGCCGGTGGCGTCCACGTCCTTGATGACCATGTCCCGTACCAGGACCCTTCGGACAGTCTTCGCGGGCATCGTCTGCTTCGGAATGGCGGCATGATGGTTCTTTTTGTGTGTGCGTGTGTGTGATTTAGTGAAGTTGGAGTGAGTCTACGTGACTCGAGTGAGAGCGTCGTGTGTGTGCGCGTGTGTTCGTTGTGGTGGAGTTGGGACTGAAGAGAAATCACGGACAGTCATGGCGGGTGGCTTGTCGAGGTTGGGACGCCGGTGTTGCTGGAATTGTGCGGTTCTCTACGGCCTCTTCCTCGGCTGGATGTATGCCGGTGAGTTCTCATAATTGTTTATTGGTAGTAATAGTAATAGTGATAGCAATAATAATAGCGATTGTAATTGTAATATTTACCGGTTTAGGTGATCCGCGGAATTGCAGAAATGTAACAGCCCACACCATGGAGGCCAGCTGTTTTCATTACGATCAGGAGTGGTGTTTAATCGTTCTTGGGCGAAGTAATTTGAAATCGCCTTGAAAATCAAAGCTTTTGATTTATAGATAATATAGTAAGGGTGCAGGGGCGACCTGGTGAACGTTAACCATGCTGAATAAACCTGAGACGGGGACAAAAATGTACACATAAGTCGAAGGTCCAGGAGACTGATTTATAATCGCTGTGGTCGAATCGCATATGTCTAATTTCTAGTGTCAAGTTATATTCAATACGAACGACGAATTATCTGGTGTGACAGATTCATATTATGCAAAGCCTGGATGTCTCACAGGATTTGCAACAAGGCCGTTGGTGTTCTGTGCAAACCACTTCTGAAAGCTCAACAAACAATCTCAGCTATAGTTTCGTCAAACAAAATTATTCTGGATTTTTTTTTAACAAATACGAATACAGAAGACCGGATTCGTTTATTCAAACTGCATACACTTTGATTGTGATTCAATTGACAACGCTTGGCATCTACCATTTTACATGCTCCAAATAATGCCAACAAAATTATTATTATTATTATTATTATTATTTTACTTTACTAGGTTTCTGCAGTTTAATACAGTTTCCCCGCTCTGTACGTAGGGCAAATAGGAATCTCCACAGTGGAAATCGGCTTCAAAATTCAGAAAGCTAGAAACCTCGGCTCAGGGGTAGCGACCGGATGACGAGGAATCGCCCGAGGACATCCGGCTTCTGTGGAGATACACACAGACATCGGGGAAAAAAACTGGCGGTGGGGGGGGGGGGGGGGGGGGGGGGGGGGGTTGGAAGCGCGGTCAGTGCTCTTGGGAACACGGTCTTTGTTATGACAAAATAGGAAATAATTTCGATAATGCCGTAATGTGACGTTTGTGTTGATCAATTACTTCACCTCGACGCACTTAATTATATCAATCACGCGTAACTGTTAAACGTTATAGGAGCTGCACCTATTCTTTTTTTTTTGCATTTTTATACATAATCGTTTAGGTAGAACGCTGCAGGCATTTAAGCATATGGTCTAATATCGAGAAACATTTCTAACAAGTTTTCCTTTTTCTTCTATTGTTCTTTCCGTGTAAATCTTTCTGCGAGTTTAAACGACACTGATCGATCACTTTTCCCTCAGCAATTTGTATTTTACCTGCCAAATTGCTTCTTACTTTATTACCTTACCACTCGACTTACGTTAAGCGATTTACAGGTCCGATTGTCGCACCAAAAATACCATCCATATATTTTCCATTTTACCGCATTCGAGGGAGATTGACCACACGTGAACCACTGTACTAAATAATTTTGCTAAAATTGCGCTGTTTTTTTTTTTTTTTTTTTTTTTTTTTTTAACGAAAGGAGATAACAGTTTTTTTGTTAATTTTGAAACAGTTATGGTCGTGTCGAAACTCTCTCTAAAGCATTTTAAAGACAAGTTAAGAAGCGCGTGACGCTGCTTATGACGTCCACGCTGCTAGCTTTCTGATTGGTTCTTGACCGTTCTTATTGGCCCGTGCCGCACTCTGATTGGCTGCGAAGAGGTAATGAGATGCCGGAAACTCGTCAATGACTGCGCTTCTTAAGCCTCCCATTAACTATAGTATAAATAGAACGAGGAACCTGGCTCTTAATGTTTCGAGGAAAATGCCCGGCGCGGATATCACGTGATAGTCTTTTTACAAGCTCGTCGGTCTCTCCATGCGTTGGGCCACGCAATCCGAGGAGCGTCCTCCCGTTACCTACATCGCGGACTGTCTTGGGCAACGCGAGACGCCGCTTGTCCCTCGTCGTTACGTCGGAACGCTCTTTAAACGAACACCCTCAAGAAGGGGGTGCTTTCGACCCTTTAACACCTCTTACGAGCTCCTAAGAGTGCTGAAACGTCTATACGCTGTACCTCAGTGAGGAGTTCCGATGTGATTTTACCACCTCAAGGAAAAACCCACGTCGCAAACCGCGATCCTGTAACCTGCCTCTGAAACAAAAGGAAAGAGGGGATTTTCCGCTGAACCTCCGAGAGGCTGTACAGTGAGAGATGAACGGCCCTCTGTACTCCCTTCACCGCTGAGCTGACAGTGCGGTGGAACCAACGTGTTCGTCGAATCAGTCGGGTGTCTTATCTTTCGCCACGGGATGACGCTCCCGCCCATACCAACACGCAGAGAGAGATCCGCGTCACGTGATGAAAGGGAGACTGTTGATTGGACCGGCGAGTGCGTAGCTCCCACCGCACTGTCGGCTTATAGGTGAACGCAGTCTACATATATTCTTCTTTTCCTCCGGCCTGCGGTGCGGTTCGCTTGTGCGCAAAGGCAATCATTGGGGACGAGGACGTGATCATATAGGGTGCATACTTGAGGACGGACTTGTTTTGCGAAGTTTGGCAAGCTGTGGATTTTTTCCTTTCATCCGGACGGCCGGAGGCAAAATGTCCTCCTTCTCTTGTAACCTGCGAGGGTAAATTATTATGCGATCGAGGAACAGAACCAATACGTTGTTGGCCTATACTGAGTGTATACACTCTAAAAAAAGTCTGTGCGTCTACTTTCACACACACCACTCGGAGAGCCAATCGCCGCAACTTACGGAGGCAGCTCAGCGAATGACGATGCCGAAACATATGTTTAGACCAAAAAAACGCGGTCTGAGTTGTGACATTAAGCAACGCAAGCGTGACGTTTCGCATTACTTAATGTCACAAGTCAGAGTGTGTTTTTTGGTCTAAACATATGTTTCGGCATCGTCATTCGCTGAGCTGCCTCCATAAGTTGTGGTGATTGGCTCTCCGAGTGTTGTGCGCGAAAGTAGGCGTACAGACATTTTTTAGAGTGTAGACCGACACGTGTTTTTATCTATACGTTCAAGAAGAGAGGAGGAAAGCGATCAAAATAATTTATATGCTTCATATCACACATTATGTGCAGCTCTGTCTGGGACAGGGGAGTCGGATCTCTACTAGGTGAAATCTTTGTGGGACGACTCGCGCAAGGAGAGCGCGTTCTAAATCTTCGCGGTTGCACTCAAGTACCTCACAACGCCGCGCAGGCAAAGCTATTCAACCGAAGTATAGATGCCTTAAGTCCCTACCTTAAGACTGACAGTTCGTAGAAAAACATCGTGTTCCTAGAGTGCCTTCGTGCATGTCTGTTTATTTTTGGGGTGAAGGCATCGCATGTCGCATAGCTCTACAGTGCTGCCAGCCCGTGCTAAATCACGCAGTTACATGGACTTGAAAGTTACGTGTTTATAAAGAAACTTCTGTACTTTCTACCCTGCTGACGCACACCCGATAACGACAACTAAAAGGAATGCATATGCATAGTATATCAGGGCACCTGAAGCTGGTCGTCTGTCGTCTAGCTCCTCATGTCCAAGAAGACAATTATCTCATTTGATATGCACGATCTCTTCACGAGAATATAGCACCACGATTTTTACGTTCCTTCTACTAAAACACCGTTGAAAGAGTATTAGTATTGCGTATAAGAGCCAACGCAAGCTTTATGCGTTAGCGTTGCGTGCTGCACGCTGCGCGTATGCGCGTCGTAGCCATGCGGCAATCCCAGACCGCAGTTTGGGCTCCGCGCACGCGCAGTGTGGAACACGTAACACTAACGCAAACGTATGGTGCGTCCCTCGTATATAGGCAGTAGTAAAACTCACAAATATGATAAACAAGTATAGACGCTTTCAGCGCGCGCCAAATTGAGCCGCCATAACCAACCTTCTCTGGTCTTACCGAGATGCCGAGCCACTGAAGCGGGCGTTGACGGGTCTCCACAAGGGCCTATGCTGGGAAGAAGGACACAGTAACACTTAAAATTACAATAACCTGTCCTGCTGTGGTAATGAGGAAGTGGAGCGAACGGAATAAGAGGGAACAAAAACTGAAGGTCGGTTATGGCGGCGCCCATGCACAGCTGCTGCAAAGCGTCTATACGCAGCTTATCTCGCATCAGAGTTGGACAGTCTCGGCGTTTGTGGTACCCGCGGAGCCTGATATACTGGACCATATAAAAACTAATATTAGCCCTTAGATTTATCATCGCAAAACGTACTTTGCGACCCTGTTCTACATACGTATATATACTGCTGATATAGTGGAGTGACTGGAGTCATAAGTCTACCATTGATTGCCTTGCAGGCCCCCGTGATGTTGGAGAAACACAATGGCGTAGCTGGATTATCTTTTGTTTATTTTAATCGTTGGGTATATAGGTGATAAACAAGGCGGTAAGGACGGGGGCAGAATGCGGCATATTCTAGGCTTCTGACATCGGCGGTTCCGAGAGAAAGAACGAGCAAGAGAGCGACAGATGAGCAGAGGAAGAAAGCAGACGAAAGAGTTAGGCGTGTTTGTTTTACCGCGACGAGTTGAAGTTGCTCGAGCGCTTGACAACTTTATCTAGTTTCATGCAACGCGCAATACCGCGGTGTTTTCCTGCAACGTAAGCTAGAAAAGGGCAAAGTACAGACGTTACAGGTAAAGTTTTGCCACTTCTTTGTGCATATTAAGCCGTCGCGTCAGCGATATGAGCGCGACGGGACCGCCCCAACTGGGGCCGCTGACGTCCGCCTCTATGCCCCGCCATTTTACAAGCCGCCCCGATGCATGGAACCTTTCCCCTCTAGGCTCTAGCTCGATCCCTATATAAACTATCTATGGTGATCAAGCCCCCACGCAGTGTTTCCTCGCACAGGTTACCCATGACGTTATCACGCTGCAAATATACTCTTTTCTCCAAATCTAGCTGCCAGAGAGCCGGCACTGCTATATTTATAAACCGTTTCATATTACGATGGGTCGCAGCCGGCGCTATATAAGCAATCGTAACCGATTTAGCGCTTCAAGC